GGGGTCTCTTGGAAACCCATTCAGTGTCTCACAACCCATGAGTGGTGTGCAACCCAGACTTGAAAGATATTGTAATACTTGAGGGCACTTAGAGTTAACACACCCATACAGTGGTGTAACATAATGGTTTGCATGACTCTACCTGTGCTGCAGCCATCTTATAATGTGAGAGCGGCAGATTAAAGACGTAGGAGCAAGTTTTTGCAAGCATGAATATTTGTCAATGTTTTTCCAGTAATAAGTGAGAGATGCTACCGTTTATTGTCTTAATCACTTACATCTGCACTGAGCGGAGACGCATACGGGCCTGAGCATGTTGAGCATGTTGGTTCAGATTCTGTCTTAAGCTTATAATCAATGGGTGGAATGACGTCCTGCTTCACACCCTGCCAGCTTGTTGCAACACACAAATAACACAGGACTGATATATATATATTTATTTTTTTTTATAAATAGGACATTTTAAAGAGCCGCTCTACTGGAAAATGTGTTTTACATCTTGTTACAACTCTAGGACGTTGATGATGTACATGTTTTTTTCATTCATCAGGTGAAGAAGAACAGTTTTTCTGTTTAACACCTTGTTACAGACTGTAATACATTTTCTGAGGCTCTTGGCTTAGAGAGAGGGTTGCGTGGGAAGTGAGTGAGTGAGTGAGTGTGTGTGTGTGTGTAAAAGCCAACGTGTTTATGATTAATTCTTTACAAGAGTACAAAGTTCTTCATCGATCTAACTTTTCTCTTAGCGTACACCAGGTGTATGCATTAAATATAACACTGTACGACATTTCCTTGTTTCTTTTGCCCAAGGACCCCCCCAGAGGGTTTGAGGTCACCTAACTTAGTCTCTTTAAATTATTTTGAAAACGCTTTGACTAGTGCTATTTACCTTATTCATCATCTAATAAACCATAATGCTCTATAAGGATTATTGTTCATAAACAGAATAACGTGTAAAGCCAAGTAGGTTAATGACTAGAAATGTGCCTTGGTGTACAATAAACTAATAGAAAAATACAAAATAAATGTTGATGACACAATAATCGTATTCTTATTGTCTTCTTCAAATGATGAGGTTCAATAGTTAAAAATAAAATATCAACTGAATTGACTTTGGGTTGAGAAATTGACACATGAACTAATCCAAATCCCAAAAGTGGATTTTAAATTGTCCCACTGTGTTCAAAGACAGGAACAGAGTGTGAATACACTATCAGCTTAAGTGTTGCATGCAATATAAACTGATCAGTAAACTACGCTAACCAATAACTAGAATAACTGCCCCGTGGTTGTTAACCCAGATAACCAGTTCTGACTTTTTGACAGGTGTTAAAATACCTGTCTGTCGGTGGATACATGATGTCAGAGTTAAACCAAATATGCAGTTACGAAACAATAGACTTGAGGTTGAGACAAAGATAAAGGTTACGTTTGAAGATGGGCGTGGTCTGGGTGAGGGTGGCATCATGGCCAATGAAAGATTTCTCTCCAAACTTTTTTGTAAACCTGTTTAACTAGCATGGAACACTACGGTTATTTCAGACTTGTGTTGTTATTGTGTGTGCTTGTTATGCGTGTTGTGCTTCTACGGTTACACAGGTGATTGTGTTGCTGACATCAGAGCCACCAGCTCTGTTCTGGAGCTCGGATACCGTTTCCCACGTGTCAGCTATCGTGTTTGAACGGACAGAATGACGACAATCTGGCACTGCAGGCGGCACGGCCAACACTGTCTGTGTGTGTTCCTGTGTGTGTGTTCCTGTGTGTGTGGACGTACCAGGACCGAGTGCATTCCCATGTAGATTCGGCTGACACAGACCAGCAGACACCAGCAGAGAGCCAGGATGAAGCCCAGCGAGAACGGGTACTGTGGAGGTGAAAGGAGACACTTTTTAAACACAATAAAAACACACCTTGGAGATCAAACTGCTTAGGCATGTTTATAACAAACAAAATGAAAAACATTTTTTACATGACTAATAGTCTATAACATGTTAGTTAAATACCATAGGAAAACAGTAATTGCAGCGGGAAGTGGTGTATATTTTTTTAATTGCTTTGGTTTTGCCATCAGTAAAAAAGGTATTTCAAAGTTACTTTCAAGCATCGATGACCCAATTCAGGTTTCCAACTTTTAAGAAAAACTCTGTTCAACAAATGTGTTAGACCTCAAGGATTCACACCAAGGCTCTAACTAGATTATGTTCATAACGGAAACATTTTTACATTTCTGCCTCAATGTATTATTTTGTCAGTAGTCGGCTTGTGCAAACGTCTCGCAGCTTTGGGTGACTTTCATGCTTTATATCGGTTCAACAGTCCAAAACCAGAAGATATCATCTTTCAGGCTCTCAAAACACTTACAATTGGAATTAAGGCCTTAAAAAATTATACAAATATTATTCACAAAATCAAAATAGTTTCCTGATAATAAAAATGATCTATCCATGGACTAATCGGTTTATTAATTTATGGTCACGGACTAAAATAAAGCTGGATATGAGCACCAACATGCAGGTTTGCCGTATAATTGCAGCCAGAAAGAAAAAAAGAAAACGAGTGACAGTTGATTGAGAAAGAGACGACAGATGAAAGCTGCTGAGGTTTGCAAACTTGTTAAAAGCCTTTTGTTCCCTTCATTGTTGCTGAGATAGCTCAGATTTCCTCTCACACACCAGAATGACAAATCCCAAAGCAACACTGGGACTCCCACACCTCCAGCCTTCTGGGGAAATGACTCATCAGATGAATGGAGCTGGATGCTTATTGGATAAGGAACTCAACAGTACTAACAGCTAGTAGCTGGAAATACGGATAATATGTAAGACTTCATATGTTCCATAAACACGTAAGACAAAATAATTGGTGAAATGGAATAATGCATTGATCAAGAAAGCCTTAACTCAGTATTAAATGGTTTACTGAAAATTACAAACCATATTCCTTTTAAACCTACATTGTGTCAAATAATTGAAATGAAATCCTATAATATTAGATAGATTTTACTTTAAGAGCTTAGTTATCATATTCTCTCAAATAATTTAGTAGTTGCATTTCACCTATTTTATATCAAAACTCTGCAGGTAAGATGATAAACTCACAGTGCCTCCAATGTGTTATTGTCTAGTTACAGTAAGAAGATTCCTCTGAGGCCCTCTCTACAGGTGTCTCTCCAAACACCAGGCGTCCATTCAAAGGGTCAATTATAAACTGAGGCCTATTTCCAAAATGAGGTCATGTCAGAGGAAGGTATTGGCAGAGAAACAGCCGTCTTTAAGTCTTTGAAATAGCTGTAAAGCTATGTTGGACGCAGCCAGCTGGTTGTTGTTTTGTTGTTTTTCGTGTGGTTGTGGTTTGCTGCACTCTGCTTATTGACTATAAGCCTCAGTGTAGGGTTTGCTCCCGGCCCCGGGGTGTGCTGCGTTTGGCGTTCAACACTGCCAAGATGTCAATTTGTTGGGGTTACGCACAAACCTTAAGTTGTGAGTATACGTCTTGTGTTGAAAGTCCCATAACCTAATAACTTTATTTACTTACAAGATATGTTTAATTTGAGTGATAAATATTGATTTAGAATAGAAAATGTGACAGTCCTACTACGTTATAAGGAAAAGTACCCTTTTCATGTAAATGTAGAGAAATATTAGCAGCATAATTGTAATTGAATAGTCAAAAGTCAAAGTAATAATTATGCAGAAGGCCTCTTCTAAACTGTCAAGTAAAAGTGCCTCACTCTTCGGTAACGCAACTCCTTTTGAATGCAACAGAAGAGATTTGAGTTTGATACTCCCCATTGAAAACACATTGTAAGCCTCGTGTTTGGAGTTAGGAAACGCTATACTGTTATGGTTATTGCGCTCAGGAAAAATATGTAATGTTTTCACCTAATGTTCCCGCTCAAGGGAGGAAGTCTCACACAAAGCCTGCCTACCATAATGTTAACTGCTCTGGCTCTACTGGAGGACATTATGAGGATTTATAATCCTTTTCCGTCCAGTAACTCTTATAATCTCATATCTCCTTTTCATATTTGTCCCATTTTTAAACTGATCTAATCTGCTCTCCATCCTCTCCTCTTATCTCCATCTCTTTGCCCTTTAGTCTAGTTTTTCTTTCTTCCTCCCTCACTTTTCTGTCTTAATCCCCTCTTCTCTCCTCCATGCTTTCTCCATCTCTTGTAATTTGCACCGTGTGGGGCGAATAAAGATATTCTGATTCTGACTATTGTCTCATTTCTTCTAATCTCTACTGTCTTCTCCTTGAACTGCTCTTTTCTGTTGTGTCCCTCATTCCTGCCTTTCATTTCCATCTTACTAGTTTATTCCATAGAGAGGGACATCTGGCTCTTGTTACTGTATGAGCTGGAGGAGGGTGGTGGGATGGGAGGAGGACCAAATCCAAATCCAAACATTCCTGCTCTGCTGAGACAAGTCAGCTGAGCGGCGATACAGCAGCTTACAGAGCAGCTACGGCAAGCAGGAGGGCAGTTAAGGACAAACCCAGCAATCTGCAATCAATTACTCTTGGTTGAAGTTAGCAATTTTGTGATATGGATGCCCGAAATACTTTGCACAGATAATCTATTATATTCCTTGGTAAACTAAACCCCAGAAATACAGGGAAACATCACCTCCATCCTCTGACATGTTAGTACCAAACTCCATGTGTTGGCATGGAGTTCAAATGTGCACAAGACAAGGTGGAGATTGATAGTATGCAACAGCTAGTGAGAGCAGTAGAAAATACTTCTAATACCTAATGTTCACCAAGTGGCATTGTCTAACATTGAATAAATCACTTGGCGATTTCTTTCCATGGGAACCACGCTAGAACTTTGGGTGATTTCTGGATAAATAGGAAGCCATTGATGAATCTGACAATAATTCCTAATTTCATAATGATTCATGAACAAGCTTAGTCAAGTCTGTCTGCTGGTGTGCACTGCCAAACACCAACGTCTTCTCAGGTTCTTGAGCTAATTCATAAAAACCACAATAAAGAAATGATGAATCGCAGTAAGACAGTGGGAAAGTGACGTCAACGACGACAAACAAATCGGACAACAACACCTTACCAGTATAGAGTGCCACAGTGACGCGTCCTAAAACCCGGAAGTAAACTCCTTCCGGTTCCTTCGACAAAAAAGCAATGCAATTTCTCCATAGGATTTTGAAAAATAGCTCGAAATAAGGTCTGTGGTTAACACACATTGAAGAGACAGATCACGTTTTGTTCAGCCGGATAATATCCACATGTCTACCCTACTTTTATAATTTTCTAAATCATAAATCTATCGATCATAAATCTATCGATTAGATTTATGATTATAAAAAATATATATATATATATATTTCGAGCTATTTTCCAAAATCCTATGGAGAAATTGCATTGGTTTTTGTCGAAGGAACCGGAAGTGGTAAAATGCTAACTTACTTCCGGGTTTTAGGACGCGTCACTGTGGCACTCTATAAAGAAGTAAGATTATGGTAAAAAAAATGAATGTCAATGACAGTACATTTGAGCCATTGAAATTATAAGGTTTAAGTCTTGTCAATGTAAGAAAAACACAAAGCTAGAATTTCTTTAGTAGACTTATATTTTTGTTAAAAACTATGAACTGATGTGTGGTCCAAAACTATACGTATTGGACTATCAACCAATATGTAATCAGTAGTGGCACTTTAAAGGAACAATCTGTGAAATTATTCGCAAAGAAGACCAAGTACACAAATCATGAGGAAAAACCCAGACGTTCAGTTCTGTCAGTGTTCGTTGAAGTGATCGTCATATTGTAGGTCATATTTTCTTAATTCTAGTGAGGGTAAAGCTAAACATGTGAAAGCAAATGTAAATGTGTCAGGCTGTTACTGATGTTCCACACAATAAGGTCAGCAGTTTGAATTGTCAGACTTTGAATATAGATTGTTTGGTGTTCAACAATGACATGAACAGATTATTTGGAGTTTAGCTCAAATGTCATACACTGTGTCTGGCGAGTAGAGAAAGAGCTGTTGGCAGAAAGGATAGATATACGGACACTATTTCAGTCTTATCTTCAATCCCCACACTTGGAGGTCAGAGTTTGACTCTTATCTCCTGCTATGGCAGACACATGGGGAGGCAGAGGGTCGTAAATCAATCTCACCCTTACTCTCGCCTGGTGTGATTCAAACTATACAATACATGGATCACACACAGTTTTCCCCCCCAACACAATAGAATAATTACTGCTGAAAGCCATGCATTTTGGAGAGTATGACAGAGAATTATAGGAATACATGTTTAGAATTACTGTTTTGTATGCTGTTGTGACAAATATACTAATTCTAAATCTATTTGTTTGTCTGTATAAGTGCTCATTACCATTTCCCAGAGCACAACATGACAGATTCAAGTATTTAATTTGTTTAATAAACTCAAAGGTGTTGTATTTATAATGATAAATAGAAAAATAGATCATATTTAAGTGGCTGAAACTAGCAAATATATGGTGTGTTTTTCTCAAAACGGACTCAAACTATAATTAATGATTCATTTCCTGCCTTAACGATAAATCAACTTAATGTTCCATAAATCTGACATAAAGTTTGAGGTGTGTGAGAAGCATCCACGAATAGTTTTCCTCGTCCGACAGTTCTATGAAAGTCAAATGGGCTTCCTGCAGTTTGTTGATCGTGTCCTCACAGTGGATGCACAGTGAGACAATGGAGGTGAACTAAACAGACTTTCTGTTGGCTTGTACAGACAATGGAGTGTTGTCCCTCCTGAGTGAATAGGAGGAGATTAAGAAAAGAACAACAGAGAAAGGCCTGTTAAAACAAAAAACTCCTGACTGTGTGTTGTTTCAATGCTTTGGGAAACTTCAATAAGGTTTTATGAACCTGGCCAAAGTTGAGGAAGAGGTGAACGCTTGTTTTAATTTGTAGCCACACATGTTAGAAGGATAAGCTGCTTTCTGAGCTGTTAACATGCTTAATGCCACCACAACATTCTCAAAATGGCATCAACTTTTGGCTAAATAATATTTGTTCTCCTATAAAATGTCAGAAAGTAGTAAACAATATCCACCACGACAACCCAAATGGCTTGATTGACTGACCAAAACTACAAAATATAATAATTAGTGTGCTTTTTAAATATCAATCCAAGTACAATGTGTATGCATACTCCCATATCCATAACGCAACAGGCACATTATATCTGTACATAATAGTTCAATGTTGTTGTCTTTACCTTTATGTCTATTTATGATCTTATTCTATTATAGAAACATTAAGTATTTACATTTGAGAAGCTAGGACCAATTAACTTTAAAACAAAAAGATCTAAAATATGACTTGATGATTAATTTACTTTATAATTAAAATTGTTCAAATCTGTTTATCCGGTCTCTAAATTTGTTTACATCAAAAAAACATGCTTTCCTTCTTTGTAATTAGCATTTTAGCGTCATAGTTTGAATTTTAGTCTGACCTTGATGTCGCTGTTCTACAAGCATTTAAGACTCAATAAGAGTCAACAAATATGTTCACATCTGAGCAGCCGCCAAGGCCATTACCTCCTGTCACTGTGTCCGCTCGGCCGACCACACATTAATTATTAATGACGCGATTCAGAGGGCAAGCTCTCAGTGATCCTGTATCAAGAGTTGCCACCAGATGTTTTCTTGTGTTGTTGTAGCATTGCAGGGGGTCCATTTGTACAAGTTGAACACAACCCAAATTAAATTACTGTGTCCTGAAGCAAGGCAGTGAGGAAACGCAATTTCCTTCTAGCAATGTGGGGAGTATAGAGTGGTGCAGGGATGACGTATTTACCCAGAAATAAGCTGTGCATGGGTTCCCTCGACAACAAAGCAATGGGACTTCTCCATAGGATTTTGGAAAATAGCTCGAAATAAGGTCTGTGGAAAACGAACCTGTTTGATAAATGCACGTTTTGTTCAGCCGGATAATATCCACATGTCTACTCTACTTTTATAATCATAAATCTAGTCACCAGAAGCAAAATGCTAACTTTATGCTATAAACGAACTACAGCCGAGTACAGCAGGGTCGCACAATTTCAACGTCATCGATATTCAAACATACTGATTCAAAATTGTACAAGTTGAAACGTTTGTTTTAACAGTTTGCAAGAGCGCAGGTATTTGCTTTCAAGCAGAACAGGGGCAAACAAACTTAGCGGGAGTGTTTACGTGTTCGGGGTAATGACGTACAACGTCCTCGACAACTTCTGTAGTCCTATTCAGCCACACAACAACCATTGTTTTTCAGACACGTAAACTCTTAAGAAATCACCAGTGATGAAACACTGCTGATGTATTTAATGTCGTAGAACAAAACGGGATCCGTCTCTTAAATGTATGTCAACCACAGACCTTATTTCCAGCTATTTTCCAACATCCTATGGAGAAATCCCATTGAGTCTGAGACGAGGGAACCGGTAGTGGTAAAATGCTAACTCACTTCCAGATTTAAATGACGAAGAGATTAATATGCTGCATTTTTGTGTTGTATTTCGTTTAAATTTGGTTAATACAACAATTTAAATGTGAGTAATGTTTACAAAATATTTAATTTTCCAGATTGCCAGTTACTGAGTGGTAAAACTGTTTTAGAGATGTTGTTTCAAATTGTATTTACTTTTGGAGACTGTAGTTAGAGATGCTTTTGAAATAAATATGTGCAAATTGGTGTTTCTACTTTTCATTATATCCTCTTTTGTCTTGACTAAACTCTTTAATCTGTGACCTAACTATATATTTAGAGGGATATTTCTAAAAAACGTTTTGTCTGTTGTGTATTTCTAGAACAGTGCCAATGGGACAATTTAGGTATTGTGTTTTTATGAAAGTATGATTATGGTACTAGCCTCTTCTGCTGCTCTATCATTGAACTACACTTACTGACGAAGTGTGACTGTGTAGAGATGATAGCAGTATTTATGTCGCTGGTGTTTCTGCAAATAAAGAGAAATGGTGAAACATCACATGAGGAACTTTCGCCAGATTTCTTCTTTGGAAGAATCAGCTCCTAGAAACTTCCCCTTCTTTGCTGCAGACGCCCTTCACATTTGACACATTATATAACTCTTTACACACATCAAATATTAATTTACTGTACCTCCCACCGGCAGTAGGTCATGAAGAACAGAGAGAAGGGGATGGCAGTGCCCGACATGGCGTGTGTGGACGGCATGCTGTACTCAGAGTTGTAAAACATCTCCACCTTGACCACAGGTGGTGAGGCGGGTCGGGGCCAGCCGATCACATCCTTGGTGCACTGACCCAGGTACATGACCCAGACCCATACCATGATCAGCCTCCTGCTCACTAAGGCGTCTATGTTCCACATAACGAAGGGGAAGAAGATGATGTAGAACAGCTCGTTGCCCAGCTCGGTTGCGAAGGTGAACATGTAGTACAGGAACCGGTTCCCGATGAGGAACTCCTGACCCGCGTCACCAGTTAGAGAGTTTTTACGGAGGGGTTTTACCGTGCCGCTAGATAGGGGGTCGTCACTATCTTTCCCCGTCTCCCTCTCTTCGTTTGCCGCTGAAAATACATGCTGTGCAGCGCTGTGACTTACGGTTGTAGCCCCGTGGAGACCACGACAGTTATTGTCCACAGCAACCGTTTCTCCCCGGGCGGTTGCCCCTGAAAAGTCCGAACCACCACCGCTGTTACCAACGGTTGTAGTAGCGCCTTGGAGACTACGACCGTTATTGCACACAGCAACAGTTTCTCCCCCGGAGTCTGTTTCAGACACAGGTGCTCCATTCTGGGCAGGATTTTCACTTTCCTCCCCTCTGTTTTTCACCCTCTTCCGAACACCCACTTCTGCTGTTTCTCCTTCCCCAGCTCCTCCAAACCCGGCCATGTTTTCACTCTCATTTCCCCCAGTGATGGGACGATGGCAAGCCCCGTTGTTGTGCGACTGAGTCCGGTCTGCTTCCTTGCTTGAGACTGTCTTCGAAAACGTCCCGTGTACCCCACAAAATCGCTGAAATCGAGCGACAAGATGGGGGTCTTGGAGATAATAGTACAGCTTTACAAAACGATTACTTTTCTCCATGTTTACTCCAAATTATTCGCCTCCAGCCACCCTAAAAGAAGGAACGCAGACTCCGCTACTTTCTCCCGGCACAGACACTGGACCATGGACGTTAGCTCCGTGGCTAACGTTAGCTAGCTTACCCGTGCATCATGGAAGAGAGAACCCCGGACCGTTTGTAAACCACAACAAGTAACAACTAGTAGTTTAAATGAAAAAGTAATTAATTGATTCGTTGATACGATAACGGACACACCGAACGGGTCGGTTCTTGTTCAACAGCGTCCGGATGCGTCCAATGACCCGCTATCTGAGTGGTTCCTGACTTGCAGCCTGACAGTTATACGGGAACGCGCGTTTTACTGGTGCCTTCTGGTGCTGTCGGAAATTTCCAATTTCAATTTTCTTCCTGGAAATTTTAGAGGTTTTAGTTTAACCTTTTAATTGCATCAATAAAGTACTGTACCTCTGTCTACCACAAATACCTCTTATTCTTGTAGTTTTTTTGTAAATTATTGTTATATTTTATACCTCATTCTAACTTATTGGATACTTTTTAATATTTTAGTATTCTTCTTTTACATGCCTAATTTTCTTTTTTATATTTAATAAGAAGCCTGCAATTGAATATTTTCTTCTTCTTTGAGATATTTACCTTACCTTGATATTTCGAACCTTTCTTTGTTTAACAAATTATAATAAACCCATATACTATTACATACATTAATCAATTAAAAAAGTCCTAAACTAAATTAGGAAATATCTCATCAAATAATAAGAATATAAGCCTAAAACCCAAATCTTTATACTCGACTAGTTTACATTGAGACCTCAATGTTGTAACATTTAATTTACAACAAATATAATCTGACACTTAACTGAATAGATTAACAGAAACATGTGCATTGGAGAGAATGGACTCCTGATCTTAGTATTTTAACCCTGAATAACAACTGTATTCAAATGACAAAATATATATTCAAAATGAATTGCAGACCACTTCATCTGCATGAATGAGAAGAACAACAAAATGTAAACATTAAAGTCATATAAAAAATATCTTACTTAAGAATGATCTATACATTCACATTATTATTTCATTCCTTGGGGAATTGTTTTTAATCTAGATACTTCATTTGGCATCTTGGCTTCTAAAGTTTGAGTTTTGTAGGAGCACCTGAAGGCAACATTGGTTTTGGCGCGCACGCAAAATGTACGTGCTTGAAACCTCACCACGTAACGTGACCGCGCTTTCTGTGTAGCCTATTCATTTGTGGCACAATTTACACTTTACCTTAGAAATGAATACAAAAAAATCAAACGTTAACAATTAAACACTAAATAAAAACAATATTATTGTGAGCTTTGGATAGAAAGATAGTGCGTAAATGCATGTATTTGGTATGTTTTGCTACGCAAAGATACATTACAACCATAAAGACATTTTCAGTTTACATACTTTATTTGCTAATCAATCACCTGAAAAAACTGTTTGCTGGCCCTTTTTCAAAATAGTTTATCTCAAATATGGAATATGCATTTTTATCAAAATATAAATTATTGTTTTAAAATAGCATGCTTCTCTTAAATAGTTGTATGCAGTTTGTTGTTCTGGTTGTTTTTCCATAGTAGGCCAGTGATTGTTATCATGTTGCAGATTTGTAAACCAAGTGAGACTCCTGGACTGAAAACACAGACAGATAAATTAAAGAGGGGTGAATCAATAATCATCTTTGTCATACATGAGAGTAGTCAGCTTAACAAAGGAATTTGTGCCACAATAAATCAATGGAAGATTATATCTGACAATCTAGACAAACTCAGTTTCTGTATCAATGTCAACAGCAGCTGCTGTTACAACCAGGACTAACAGTTAGAAAAGGTGAAATGTAATATCAATTAAAGACATTCTGCACTCTGAAATTCAGCTTTAAACCACAATAGTGCTGAAAATCATGATCAACAATTTACTGCAATTTGGGTGCAGTAAATTATGCAAAAACTAAGCTGAAAAGAAACAAGAAGCCATTTTTCTTTTATTAAACCACACAACTTCTTTCACTTCTTAACTAAAAGAAAGGAAAGGACTTGTTCCCCTTTTATTATGAAAACGTAATAATAAAAAAAAACTATTTAGCACTATAAGAACTATATAAACCTTTAATACAAAAGGTAAACTTTACACATTACAATGCTTTAGTTCTGTATCTGGTGGCAACTATAACTTCTCCTAAACAAATACTTGTATACTAGACATAATACTACTCTGTAGGCTATTCTATCTGTATTTAATTTATATTTGTTGCACACAAGCCTCCATTAAACTTTATTTCATCTTTGAATACTGCTTCTCAATCCTACATGCTGAGTTTAAAGTACCATAATAACTTTTAACTAACTAGAAAGAGCCATACAGTAAGCTGAATTATTTCACCAGCAGAGGGCAGCAGAGTAATGCAAAACACAGGACACATACAGATAAACAGTCTTCCCACAAGCAGTGGGAACAGACCTCAGAACATATCTTGAGACAATTCACAAAGTCCAGGGAAAGTTACAAACAATAATTCATAAATCACACGGTAGCATAACAAGTTGACAGGAGCATTCACCACTTATGCTCCCGCAACTTAGCCAAGGTGTATCAAAAAATAGTGGCCTGCAGTCTGCAAATCCCTGAATACAAACACGGTTCACATGAGCAACAATAACAATACAAATCCATTAGACAACATCAACAGCCTGTTTCAAGTCTCTCACTTTTGCACGTTCAGCAGGGTCGTTTTAAGAACTTCTCATCTACGTTGGCTTGAAATGTAAGTACATGCTCAATAGATGGCAGTAATGCATCATTTGGGCTATGGCATCAGAGAACATAATGCAGGGGGACAAGTGTGCAGAATACAATACAATGTTTTTTGTAGAAAATATCTATGCACCTAAGTAAAATCCAAGTACTTTTAATCTGTAGCCTACGTAACAGTACTAGAGTAAAAGTACTTAGTTACTTTACACCAGTTAACAACCCTTTAACTGCCAGACCAAGAAAAAAGCTATGGAAAAATTATTTGTTTGCATTTTTTTATCAAATGGGTCACAAATAACCACAAACAATTTTTTTTTTTTGACTGACCACACAGTTTTGTTTTTATGAGCCTCTACCATCTAGTCGAGCTGGCTTTCAATGCTAAAAGTGCATTTTCAACAATCATCATATACAGTACAGTATTTGTATGCATCAAACTCAAATAAAACAGAAACTGAAATACATTTGTTTCTTTTATGGAAAATTAGCAATATATACAACCAGATATATTCATAAAAGATAATAAATTATAATTGTAAAAAAAAAAAAAGGAAAAAAGTAATGTAAAGTGTTTTTCATAATAAAAAAAATACTTGCTCATCTTACTGTATATGCTGAATTGGTCTAACAGGAAACCACTGGCCTAACAGCAAATGTCTATATCCTGTGTTGGTCTAACTTCTTATCTGTGTGCAACTTTGGGCTGAATGCCATGCAGGAAAGGTGCTATATAAATTATTATCACTCTTTCACTCTGAGACTCATAAGGCAGCACTAGATTTAGTAATATTACCATGAATCTAGCTATTTATTTACCATATTTTATAGGACAACATCTCTGAAACTCTGAAAAAGTCATATTGCTAGTTTACCATAAAAGGCCAATTCGACCGGTTGGTTGAGCATATTTAAAAAAAAATAATAACACCCTTGTTGAAACTTTTTTTGTGCATCAAGTTATCTACTTATGTTCATTCAGTGCTCTGACACTAAAATATGTCAAAAATTATATGGTTACCTTACAAAAGTTGACCAAAAAGAGGGATTTCTTCAGCAGTGATTTTTAGCCTGCCAACTTTCTCAGAAGAAGCTAGCTGAAGGGCTTTCTGTTCAAACCACAGTGACATCTAGAGGTTGTATTGTGCATAACATGTCAACCAAAGGGTAGAGCTGGCTGAATCAGATGGTGTTAAACTTTTGAATTTTTTTTCCAACAAGATATCAAGACACAAACTGTGCTCTACCAAATGGTGGCACCAGCAGTTAAAGGGTTAAGCAGCTTAGTTTAGGCAGCATGACGGGTCATCTTAAGAAAGGTATAATTAAGCTAAAGATTGTGCAGAATGCAGACGTTCCTGTCTGACTGACACCGGAACGAGAGCACACATTTAATCTGTTATGAAGTCCCTTCATTTGGTGCCTGACAATTTTAGAATAGATTTGATTAATCTTTGTTTTGTGTCCAATCCCTCGATGGAGTTGTGCCTGGCACATTATAGACAAACACCATCCATTACATGAATGCACCATCATGTAAGCAAATCTAGTTCATTGTTGTATCCTAATCTCCTAATACCTTTAAAGTAAAATGAAAGACTTAACTCTTTCCCCTCGAATTTTCTCTTTTCATTTTCTTCCTGTTTTAAAGCACTTGGAATGGTGAGTTTGCACGAAAAACACTACTTATTGATACAATTTAAAATGTGATTTTGTTGACTGTCTTTGCTTTTAAAGCACAGTACTCTGTTTTCACACAGGTACACTCTTACACAGCCCTCAGCAACACCTCAGGGCCAAGAACAAATAACATGTTGGCTTTTCAAAGATGCATTTTTGCTCTAAGATTTACAGTCTTGAAATTCCAAACTCCTGATCTTTGTTAATCTTCAACAGGAAAAACAAAAACCAACTTAAAGAGATGCACATAACATTACAATTAAACCTGGACTTCTTTGCCTGTCTTCAAGAGAAAAAAGTGTCTTCCTCTACAGTAGAGAAAAGTAAAGTTAATTTAACCACACAGCTTATGACCCATTTTAAAGGTGGGCAAATGGCAGAATGAAATCCTATTGAGCAAAGTATCCATAAACCAATGCAAAAAAGAGTACATGTTAATATTCTGCTACAAGTAAAAGTCCTTTTTAAAAATGCTCATGATTAAGTAACATTTACACAAATATTTTGTATCAGAAGTTATGGAGATTTGCCCTTTTTTGAGTGTTTTCATTATATATTTTTGTAACTAGATAATCATTATTGATATTAACATGTGGCGATTGAAAGAGGGGAAGTAAGGTTAGAAAAACCTTTATCAGGTCCCGTTTGGAAATTCAGTTTTCAAAACAGCAACAGCTAATAGGATGAAACACACGGATAATAACATTTAAGAACAATAACAAATATAAAAAACCTTATAAACAGTATAAACTGAAGTAATAATAATAGGATTAGAAGGAGAGCTGATTAAAGTGAATGCAATTTTAGGTTGGATTGGGTCTTATTCTGTTTGT